AAAACTGAAATACTTCTGGAAATGTTTCCGAATCAAAGACTATGCTTAAATGACCTATTTGAGAATATTATATATTTTTATACGTAAACACACAAATTTTTAATGTTATTGTATCAGGATTCTTTCTTTTTCATCCCGTTTTTTTTTCGTAGTAATGATCGAAATCGTTAATTACTGCGAATTTTGGAATGCAGTAATAATATCACCATTAATTTATTGTTTTAATTACTCTAAAACGTAATCTCGGAGAAATTGTTTTTCTAACAGAAATTATGCATATGCCTGTCTTTGAGATATATATATATATATATATATGTATATATTTGGGATTAGTTTTTTGGAATATTATATATTTTTTCATGGTTTTAGATACGTGCATTTAATTTACATATGCTCTCAGAATTTCAGTGATATAGTAAATTAGTTTGCAGCAATAATTAATCTTTGATATGTATGCAATTAAAATTTCATAATTTAAATTAACTTTATATGAATAGAGAATATTTGTTAAATTCAAATTTCATTCTTTGCAGCAATGGCACATGAGAATTATTTAAATTTAACTTTACTTTTTATTCTTATGAAACAATATATATATATTTGTATTCTGTAACTGAAATAGGGGTAAATATGCACAAATGAATGAAGCAGCTTTGATTCCGAATAAATTGTAGCGAGGCTGTTTTATCGGTGGTTAACTTAACAATCTGTTTATGCCCGTCGAAAATTTGTTACAGTAAAATAGTAAATTCATCCCCCTCAAAATATTAAAGTTAATTAGTTCTCCTCGCGATGATATGTCCGCATAATACAGTTCTTGTATGTTCAATAGTACAGTCAATGCTCATTGTGTGCTTCATTGTATCTGCTCATGGTGTTTTATACAGGATACGCACGACCATTTACTGGGCCAATCAGATAAGACTTGCTGATAATACGAATAATACATGATGGCTTGTCAATATAACGCCATAGTGCATTATCGTACGACATATATAGCATATCATAGACATCTCAATTGCTAAATAATCTGAAAGTATATCCGTGAAGTTCTACAGCCCGAAGCTTTCCCTTCCTTCAAGCTTGCCAGGCGCTTATTTCAACAGGACAATATACTTCGGATATCCTTCTTTGCAATAACTTCATATGTCGCCAATAACTGTATGTCATTGGTCATAGACTTTGGGTACTACAAACGATATGGAATGCTCTTCCTCAGTCAGATTGAAAATAAGAAAGGCGTACTTATATTCTGTAACTGTAGGGGGAAAAACCATGAATTTTTCTCAGCTGTTTAAACAGTTCCCATGTGTAAAATAGTATTTCATCCCCCAAAATATTAGTTAATTTTCTCCTAATGTATAATGTCTTGCCTGTTCGTACAGTGTGATTAATGTCATGGTAATTTTGGATACTTTCTATAGATCTTGCATAATAACTACACATGTAAGTTATATACACATTCATAAATCTCTTATGATATGAAAAGTTATTGCAGACTTTCACATAACTATTAATAACTTGATATTCTCGATAACAGGTGACTTACCTTACTTCCGTAGACCATGATCAGAATTAAATAAACTTATAAGGTTATCATACTAAATTACACGAAAAGCAGCATGACATAAATAAATACAAAGAAATTAAATGTATTTACTGTACTAATAGATTATTATATTACATGACATTGGTTTTGCCCATGTATAATGGGAATGAAAGCCAGTTTTCCATAGAAAGTCCTCTACAGAGGCATCTGTTTTCTTAAGCAGATTGCTTTTACCACATTTCAGTGACCTTGATTTAAGTATGAAACTGGATAATATTTTCTTTCTGCATGAAATGTGTTAACTGAGTTTTAGAAATATAAGCCATCTTGCAGTTACTGTGATAATACTAATTTTTGGTACCTCCATATTATACCATCAACCATGAAAGTTGTGCTAATTACTGCTGTGGAATTCTGAGCCAGACATTTGTATACAGCAGTTACAACAAACCATACATCAGTCTCTCTGCAGAATACATGAAATAACCCTGCTGTGAAAGTATTGGACCCACTTCGTGAAAAAACATTCGTTCATTACTACTGTTTTATTTGCGGTCAAATTTTACCAAAAGCTCATTTTAGAATGCTATGAATACAAGTTGTCCACAGGTAATTGTTCCAATTTCTTACTGTTTTGTTCGCTATTTCCACATACAGTAGATGTTAATTCTTTCGACCAGCTGTAAAAGAACTGGAGTGCAATCACAAATGTGATTCTACCTAGCTTACCAAGAATTATTTTGGGTTACATACAAATGAAACCGCAGATGTTGCGAGTGTGGTGATATTAATTTTTGTTTTGTCTTCATTAACCGGAAAAATAAATTTTCCATTAATGGTGAAAAGGTAAGAAATATATGATAATAAGTATAATATTATAGTCATTTCAAATTACTGCAAGAATGTTTCATTATTATTCAAATAATAATAACAAAAAGCTATCTATACTATAATTATAGTGAAGTATAGATATTAAATAATACAAAAATAAATATTTAAATAAATTTTAAAATATAATTTACTAATAATTTAATAAATTTTTTTTTTTTTTTTTTTTTTTTTTTTTTTTTTTTTTTTTTTTTGTTTTGTTTTTTTTTTTATTTTTAAAAATGAAAATTTATTTTAATAAAAAAAAAAATGGAAATAAAATATAAAATTAATATAATATAAACTATAAAAATGTTATTAAATTTGTATGATTAAATTTAAATTAAAAATTTCTTTTTTTCTTTGGGTATGAACGTTTTATTGCATATTTTTAATAATGAAAAAACAGTGACATATTTTTGTTAAAAATGGAAAGTAAACTCCTTAAAAAGACTGATTTATTAATATATCAACTATATTTAATGTTAAAAATCTGTGTATTAAAATTTCAGATGAAACTTTCTTTTGACTTAGGATTTATGTTTTTCTAGGTATGGAATGCTGGTCTGAGGGTTCTCTATGCTATAGGACAATGGCCAGGCAATACTCATGATGCATTTATATGGAGTGGACTGAAACAAAATCTAGATAGTATTTTGTCGCATCGTGCATATCTTTGGGAGATAGTGGATTATATTCCCATTTTATCACGGGAATATCTCTATAATGAGAAGCACAGAAAAGTTCGTGCAGCTATAGAGATCAAATCAAGATTTAGGGTACTGCACGATACTGGTGGAACACTATTGTATTCACAAAGCAAAATATGTAAAATGGTCATATCTGGTGGCCATTTTACATAATATATGCTTAAGGTATTGTGTTGAAAATCCTGAGATTGATGTGTTTGAAGATGATGAGTTGGTACCTTCAGAAAGTTTTCAGTCAGTGCATGTTGAAATTGCATTGCACAATGAATTATCTTTAAATTTTGAAACTCGATAATAAAAACCCAAAGTGGGCAACAATGAACCTCTGGCAAAGGTGAAACCCCCTTCATGGATAATAAAGAATATATTATGAAAAAAATTACTTTCATAATATATTCTTGGGGACCCACAAGCCATGGTTTATATTTAAACCTGTAACTAAATGCACAACCCTAAATGATTTTAATTGATAATAATAATCCTAAATAATTTTATTAGTCCTGGTTTCAAATGCATACTGACAACTTTTATCATTATTGTTCTTCCCTCTGAATTTCTTGTTTCCATCATTTATGTTTAAAAACTCTTGACTACCAGAAATAACTTAATAGGCTTGATATATATATATTTTAGTGTTGGTATGCCAGTCATGATTTACAATAGTAAGTCACTATAAATTAGCATTGCACTTAATTTATCTTAAACTTAGCAATAAGATTTACTGCACCGAAATTCAGTTTCTTCCAAAAAGTCAAATGTTTCCCTTTCGTCCCCTTCCGTGGGACAAGATAGAAAATTTCCATGTGACAATACACATTTAATAGCATAAGAACTTCATGCTTATTTATTATAGTATAAATTAAAACTGACATATTCTGTCAAAGATATTTAAATGTATTTCCTAAAAACAATTATTTCACTCTATACTGTTTATGTCTTCTTGGGGGTGGGCAAAACAAATATTGGACAGTTCAATTTTCCTCCACCATTCCTGTGAGCGTATTCTTCGATTAAGCAGGGTTTTGCTCCAATTCCTGATTAGCATAATATGTAAAGAATAAACAGCCTATGATTTATGCCTCCATATCCTCTTGTATTATTTAAAGAACATACATTTTTCTTTTAATTCTAGATTTTAAAACATTAAAGTAAGGGAAAGATTGTTTGCTGAATTTAGATTTATATCATCATTACGCATTCACTATAATAACTTACTGCATACTTACCTCAGTGGGTTTGCCATTAAAAGAAATACATTTAAGTAAAATCATGAGTGTATAATAAATTGTTTTTCAGCCAAAAAAAGAGAAGGGGGAAAATAAATACAGTTTGATTCACTTAATTTTTAGTACGCGACTCAACATTGTTATTGTAAACTAGACATTAGCCATACTTTAATAGTTGTCATCTCTGTATTTTTAGAACTTCGAAATTAGAATGTCAATTTTATCTGCCATTGTTATGGAGCTGTAGGATATCGAATGTTATTTCTTCAATGATAAAAAGAAATGAAATTTTTAATACCACATCTCATTCATATAACTTATTAACATAATTGAAAAACAATTTAATTCATTTCGTGTTATATCTGAAAATTAAAATTTGTAATACATTGACTAAAGATTCTTACAGGTCTTATTCCCATTTTCCTCCAGGAAAAAGATAATTGCTGTGTAAAATGCATAAATATTTTCACGAGACTTATAATAGTGGTATTAGAATTATTATAATGTTTATGTCATATAATGGATCTGTGAATTTCTTTTAAATAATTTTTATAATCACAAAATTTTATAAAATTAAGAAAGTAGTAAATTTTACAATTAAAATATGAATCCCACACTGCAGAAATACATACAAGAATGAAAACACTGTAATATTTGAAATGCATGATTTATTTTTTTAATAAATTAATAATTATATTTTGATTTTCTATGACAGCAGACTGATTTGCAACTGATTGCTTATACAAGTCACATATTTCACACAGTACATTAATATATTCTTCTGCGTTTTTCAATTATTTCCTTTTCTGCAGCTGTAATATCATCTCTCTTCCTTTTTTCTCTTCGGTCTCCTGCTTCGAATAGTTGAGCTTCTATCTGAGGGAAAATTTTAAAATATTCATTCATTCAAATTCAAATATTCTTAATTTTTATATTTCATAATGTAAAACACTTTTTATAATTAATTAAACAATGAAACTTCTCTAAAAAGGAACAATTCATAATATTGATTTCTTTAACTTTCAATTTTTTTCCCTTTATAATTTTTAAGACTGTTTATAGATCAAGAGGATTTAATGATTATTATTTTAAATTCTTAAAATCTTGTTGTTAATAAAAGACATACTCTGTATATAATGTTCGCAATAAAGAATTGAAATAACTCTTTTGTATGAGAAATATTAATTTACATCTGTTATAATTAATTTATACCAGCGGTTCTCAGCCGGTGGTATGCAAAGAAACAAAATATTTTTAACTATGAAATTCAAAAATCTCATAAAGAAAAGAATAGTTAATAGAAATTTCCTTTGATCGAAATTGACTTGAAGATTTGGAAAATGACACACTTGTTAACTTTTGGCTGAACCGAAAAAAAGAATTTAAAGGCATTTCAAATAAAGCTATCAAATTTGTATTGTCTTTTCGCACAACCTGTTTGTGTGAAAAATGATTTTTTCCATGTTAAATTTGAAATATAAATACTCACCAAAATAAAAAGTGGATCCTAATTTACCATTAAATGAAATAAGAGCAGACATAAAGAAATTAAATATTAAAGTATTATAACTGAAATTTTGATAATCAAGTGAATAATTAATTTAATTAAATTTAATTTTGATAATTAAGTAATCATCAGTTTTTAATCTAATAGTTTTTTATGTGTACATATTTAATACAAAGAGTGTGCAAATGGCAATATATATATATATATGTTTTTAATATTTCTATTGAGGAATTGAAAAATAATCATTGTAAAATTAGTGGTAGTATTAATGTTTTTCAGTTTTTGCTTAGATGGTACACTACAGTCAAAAGGTTGAAAACCGCTGATTTATACCATTAAAGTTTTTCTGTTGGGAGGAAAAAGAAAAGAAGAATCCAGAAAACATTAGATTTTATGTAATAGATACAAACTTATCATTCCTAAACGTCATCCTCGTGATAAAAGGTGTGGAATTTTCTAATGTAAAAAAGAAAAAAGCATAAAATAAGCACAATTTACTCAACAATCTTGACTGAAATATACATGCTTTCAGAGATAGCATAAAGCAAGAAAAGTTTACTCAACAATCTTGATTGAAATATACATGCTTTCAGAAATAATATACAAAGCATACTGCATAATCAAAGTTATGAGTTTATATACTATGAGATACTATACATGTTTATAATATACCACGTTCCTGTACACCTAACACCTCGTCCACAATTTTCTATACAATTCATTAAAGATAGTTCCTGAAACATAACTGACTTAAGAGAAACATGCATACTTCTAATTTATGCACAATAATTTGACAAACATTGATTTCAGGTAAAGAGCTACATGTATTATATCAAAGAAAGAATGAATAAGTGTAATTTGCCTTTATCCTACAAATACTTAAAAACATTTACATTAAAAAAATGAATTATACATAATGGTAGCAAATTTTTAATGAAAAACAAAACAAGAGTTGAAAACTTAATGCAGTTTTTGTCAATATTTTACTCTCTTAAAATTTATATAAATGTATAGAAACTTGAAATGAAACTTGAAATGCATACCGCATTTGGCTGGAAAACTTGTGGTATTGTACTGCACTCTAGGGAAAGGGAAAAAGTATACAATGAAGCAATCATAAGAATAAAAGATATTTGCATATTATTGAAACCACCTTAATAAAAGTTACCAAATTTTCAAAAATGTGCCAAACTCTGGCAACGATTATGTATCAAAATTTTTCAGGTAACATGCTCATGACAATTTTTCATTCAAGCAATGTCACCATTTTCATATGTGTTTCTTATGTTGTATTTCAAGTTCCAATGGATTTTAGATACGAATAGTTGTTTTAGATTAATTTCAGATTTAAAATACTGCTTGTGGAGCTTACCATCAAAAGACGAAGCTGTGTTAAAAGTTCTGCAGGAATAGAACATTTTAGTACAAAAATTTCTAATGGAAACAACTATGAGATGAATTTGGTACATAGACAAGGCATGCAGTATCAAGTTTATGTAATTCTCTGATTTTTTTTTTTTTTTTTTAAGTGAAAACAGATCACTTGGCACAAGTGCTAAAAAATTAGACAAAAAATTTGTGGAAAATGTATTTTTTTTTTTTAAACTATCATATAATTTTTATTTAATAATTCAAATTAGTATTTTAAAATTTGTTAAATGTTTTTTCCTTTGATATGTTGATAACATTTTGCCAACTTAGATAAATATTGATAGTTTGGTTATGCTAAAAGCAAGCTGCAAAAACAACGTACTTCTCCTGATAAGTATTTTTCTCTTTTCATTTATAAAGACCACCAAACTGATCCAGGTGTTTGTGTTAATACGTAAGTACCAAAAAATATTGAAGAATGCACAATGAAAGATGGCAACCAGTATGGTAAAAGATATAATTAATATATGCAATGAAAGAAATCTTATTAAAAGACGACTTTCATTATCAGCAGAGAAGCATGACACAGTTACAGTAAAGAAATTAAGCTTTTGTTTCTGCACTTGTAGCTTTTAATAGCCAAAAATTGTTTTTTGAAATTTTATGAAATAAATAAATCTGAACATAACTGATATCAAATGAGAATGGGTCCAAACTTTCACTTAAGAAGCAGAAAGTGTACTGTAAATGCACAATATAATGAGCAGAACACAAAGCATAATTTATAAATTAACCTTTACTCTGGATGTATATATTACATTAATATCACATTAGAATTATCAGGGTTTCATATAATTTTTTATTTATTGTATTACATTGAAATACCTTTAATTTCATTTTTATATTTTCCCAACGATGTACAATATAAATCTAAAAATTGCTCTTAACTGTTTCATCACATAATGAATGTCTAAGGGAAGGAATGCCTGCGTGGAAGACTAAGGAAAACTTAGTATTCATGTTATACATTGAAAAAATGAAGAAAACACTCATGCAGCCAGCTTTTTCACCTGGATTTAAAGAGAGACTGGGATAGCGGTGTTCAGCAGGCTTATCTGCTTGTAGATAGATGGGCTTATTAATTACTATATAATTCAAGAACTAGTTAATTTTCATATGGTAAACATGCCTACTGTCACTGAAGAATCATGCATCTGCATTAAACAATAAAAATAACACAAATTTGAATTTTAAATTAAACTTACTATTAGAAGAATTAAAACCAAATGCTGTAATTTGAAACATTAAAAGAATCATGCATCTGCATTAAACAATAAAATATAACACAAATTTGAATTTTAAATTAAACTTACTATTAGAAGAATTAAAACCAAATGCTGTAATTTGAAAATGGGAAAAAAATGTGGTTTATATTTGAAAAAGCAAGGATTTTTGTCTGAAAAGTAAAATATATTTTACACACACCTGTTGCTGTAGATTACTTTGGAGGGAATTTTCTATAGGATAAAGTAAATAAAGTTGTACACATTAAACACATGTTGTACACATTAAAAGAAATATATTTCTTTCGTTTTCAGGACTGGAACAATTCGTTACACCACACTACAACGCAGTAAACACTTGACCATAAGCTCAGAGAAATCATGGAAACTGATGTTTTTTGTTTACATCGACACGCAGTCTCATTGGATATTGATGTAGTTTATCGGACAAGCTCTCCTGGCACGAGAGCAAACCAGCTCCCCATTGCAATTTTGACGTCATCAGTTACCAGAGCGGTAAAAGCGTTGCACTTGAATTCGACTTTAGCAGACGATAGCAGGAACGCCTCTTGCGAGCTAACATTTGCAATTATCGTTGCAGTTGACGCCTTAAGTTTGCCACATTAGATTTCGAACTACTCTTATGGTTTTGTCTATACAAGGAATCTCTTTAACTTAAAAGAAAAACTAACATCGAAGTATTCATATAAATTTTACATATTTTAAATAGAAAATACATGCACGGAACAGCTTAAAAACACGTATGTTTCACTGCCGTAATGCAATGTTTTGAAGTTACAAACATGGACGCCTCTTGTTCGGTGGAGTTTCATTCCCCGATAGTGGAGGAAACAGCGAACCCTCCCTCCTTCTATTCTAACCTCCTTGAGTAAAAAGATGTTTCTACATCTTGACACTCGAGAATAAAATACGATCTGTGCACTAAAGACACTAGTAAGTAAAGACTAAGACTAAAGATACATTCCGATGACCTCATTGATCACGTGACTTATGTATATCTTTTGTAAACAAACAATGCAAATGACCTCAGAGATCACGTGACTTATGTGCAGCTGATGCAAATAAGCAAGGTCATTCTTCCTCTTCTTCTCTTGCGGAATGTATCTCATTTCAGACTGCGATTGATTTTAGTGTCCGGAAACTGACAATAGTCTTTCTTCTTCATTTTTACCGCTATTATTTGATTTACATAATTGTCCTGTGCAAGAGGCAGGTGTTCCGAAGTTATCTATTTTGACTACTGGTATTATTTTTACATTTCGTTTAACGTAACTTAATTCATGCTGCACGTAGATTACGTTTGAAATCGTGTATATGTCATTTCATTTTGAGAAATCGAACTGAGTGCGTGATTTACGCGTGCTGAAAAAAATTTTAGGCCTTGTGCAGAGCTGTACTTTTTTGGTAAAATCAATTGCTCTGACGTTCAAATATTTAAATATAAGTGAAGAAAGATTGTTCTAATAGCTTTTTAAACTTAAACATCAATTAAATTTAAATATTTTTTGTCTATATTGAATTGAAAATTCTTTTGTTCTTATTGCGTGGGCTAATTGCTCATTATTCTCCGTAATGTTTGTTCCATAATTTATTTCAGTAAATTATATATTTTCTTTATCATCGTAGAGTATATAATGTTAAAAATATTCTTGTAAATTAAGGAAAAATTTTAATTTTTAAAAATTTTATAGCATTTTTAACAATTTCGGATCTGGTACTTATCATATTATCTTATGAGCTCTTATTACTTTTTTTGGCTTTATTATGCATATTTGTTGATTTTATTTTCTATTTATATGATGGCTTGTGAACTTTTAAATTATGTGCCGAAATTTTAATTCCGTTTTCTTTAATTTTTAGAAGCAAGATTTTGCAATGGGAGACCATAAAGAGTAAGAACATTGAGTGTTTATTTCAATATTTGAATAACATGTTATTTTTCTACATTTGAATGATATTTTATATGGTGAATCTTCGGATTATGGTAAATTGGCAATTTTTTGGCAACCATCACTGCTACAACAACCTGCGAGTTTTTTTTTTTTTTTTTTTTTTTTTTTTTTTAACTCAACATTTTTTCCAACAATCTGCTAGCCGAATTAAGCTTATGCTAGAATTTTTATGGCACAAAAGTGCTTAATTATGACGAAGATTAGGTGCGAAATTGTTTCTAAGTGCTTATTAGCTAAAATCATGATTGGAATTTTCCGGAAAGTTCCTTTTCACCAGATTTCTTCCACCGCCATTCAAACTTATCTGTAGTATCCTTCCTTTCACAGAATCTCATTTCATTCCCACATGTTGGACATTCATACTTATCAGCAATTAATCCTATACTCATACACCATTCAAGCAACTCTTTTGGGTGATCACATAAATGCAATAAAAATTTGGAATTTACTTTAGAGAGAGCCATGGAATCCAAATATTAAGCAACACTGTTTCACACAAGATACAAGATGGAATATACTCAGATTATTGCTAAAGTCCTAGCTAGTAACCTTTATCGCCTTACCAAAATGTTGCCAAACTACCTGTTACCAAAGATTAGCCTTTTATTTTTCTATATAAATAATTTTGATTCCATTTGATTCTCCCTTCGTCCACATTTTATGTGAAGCTCGTGGAATGCATCATAAAATTGATAATATTGTTCTTAGCATGTGCTGATGAAGATTCTTATTGGTTTTCTGAATTATGTAATTGTCATCTTATTAAAAATGGGGGCATAAACATCCCAAAAATTCCCTCCTCAGCCAATATCGGAGGAAAAGCTCTGCTGGGGGAAAATCGCGTAAAGGTAAGACAAAGTGTAGCGTTTGCATCAACATGATAAACCATTTACATAGAACAAATTGTAAACAATTAGTTATTGTTGTGATTAAGTAAATCTACATACTTTTTTGGCTGATCTTTGGAATGTGGTAACTGGTAGTTTGCCGACATTTTGGAGGCGATAAAGGTTACTACCTAGGACTTTGGGAATAATGTGAGAAGTACTCAGTTCCGATTACGCATTATTTTGTGTGAGGGAAATGAGAGATCATGAGATATGTCATGTGACATTAATGGACAAATCACTGTTCTTTAATCGGAAACTGTACTTTATAGCCGTAGTTTCATTCTATGTTCTGTGAAACAGTTTATATTTGGTTTATATATATAGTGTTTATATATATATAGTTTATATATATAGTGTTTAATATTTGGATCCCATAGCTGTATATAAAGTAAATCTGAAATTTTTATTACATTTATGTGTAATTGAAAAGAATTGCTTAATTGCGGATAAGTATGAATGTCCAATATGTGGGAATGAAATGAGATTGTGTGAAAGGAAGGATATTATAGATAATTTGAATGGCGGTGCAAGAAACCTGGTGAAAATGGACATTTTGTGATCCGCCATGCACTCAAGATTCTGTAGAAGATTAGGTAAGTTAGTATTTTTAATTATTTGAGGATATTATTTTTATGCATTGTTCTAAATGTAAGGAGTAAATAAATTAATATGTTATTATTCAAAAATTGTTATTAGCAATGATTTAGTTTAAAGTAATTAGGATTTTTTTTTTCCTTTGAGAACATACAGACTCCCCGTGCACCACATATGTACAACACGGGGCAAGTAATTAGGATTGTAAGCTAATTTTTATTAATTTAATGTATGTGCTTATTTATATTTTAAGTAGTGTTTTTTAATTTAATGATCGTGATTTTGAGAGTTATATGTTTGTAGTATTTTGGAATACGTTTGAGTAGAAGTAAATGTGCATGGAAAGAATTTAAGTATTTGACACTAAGTATTTGTAATCATTTTTAATATTTTGTTATAAATTCGTTGGTGACGTTTATAATAGATAATTTAGAGGTAAAAGTTTTTGGATATTTTATTTATTTTATACGTGCAAATGTCCATCCTTGGAAAGGGTATACGGTCAAAAGTCGTTAATTCGGACACCCATAATCCGGACCTCAAAGCTACAAACTTTCTGCGCATGCGTCGCGTTCACGCATGCGCACAGGCGTTTAAGAGTGCGCCTAAGACCTTTACGGCTGCGAATATGTTTGTGAGCATGCGCGTTTAATGTGTAACGGAGGTATAAGCTAGGTTAAAATTATCTAATTCAGTTAATGTTGCAGATTGCGTTGTTCCTTAATCTTCGAATTAGATCCGGCTTATTACTTTTTGCAGACTGTTAGAGCAATTTCATAAAAGTAAGCTTGAACTTTCGATTATGTTAAATAGAATTTCAGATATATATTTACTAATATGTAATTTGTATCTACAAAGCGAAAGTATGTTTTGAAATCCGAAATCTGTTTATCAAGTCCACGCCGCGGATTGGAAGTTGATCTGTCAGCACTATCCTTATCTTCAGGGCAGATGTTTTTATTTTATTTGGCTTATAATTCCTTACTAAGTGTAGCATTTCATCTCGATGTACTCCGTCTTTGATATGATTTAAATCAAGTTCCTCGTCATTATAATTCACTTCCGATAGTGAAGAAAGTGACCCAGAGGTTATTGAAAACGAAAACATTTCGACTGACAAATTAGTCGGTATTCTCAACACTGCAATTATAGGACTTGAACAGCGGAACTTTGTAACTAAACAAGAAATTATGTCTGTTTAATAGAATTAAAGAGAAAGTATTATCACATGAAAGGAAGCAACTTACATTGAAAGAAATGTTTAATAAAGTAAACAAATAAATATTAAGCTTTTTTCTTTTTGTAAATTTTGATACCTTTTAGATCATAATTGTTCTTTATTTCATAAATTACGGTTTCATATTTTTAATTTTGGAATTTCTGCATGCCATCTTACCAGATTTAAACTGATGATGGATAATCCGGAATCGCCGAAGTCCCGACGAGTCCGGATTAACGACTTTTGACTGTATACTTTTTCGCGCTCAGGTAATTTCATATATGTCTTTTTTACCAAATTTAAAGATTCACAAAATTTTCATGCATTTTCGTGAAATTTTTCTAATTTATGAGAAAAAAGCAGTGTACATGGATATAGTGAAGAGTGTGCACAATGCCATTTTTGTGCAATTCTGGGATGTTTTTTTTAAGTAAAAATAAGTCGACGTGTACATGGTTTAATTATATTTTAATTAAATGATAGTTATTTTGTGAATTATATGTTTGTAGCAATTTGGTATACGTTTGAGTGGAAGTAAACGTGCATGGAAATAATTTAAATATTTGATACTAAGTATTTGTAACCATTTTTAATGTTTTGTTATGAATTCGTTGGTGACGTTTATAATAGATAATTTAGAGGTAAAAGTTTTTGGATATTTTATTTATATTATACGTGGAAATGTTCATCCTTGGATAGGGTATATACTTTTTCGCGATCAGGTAATCTCATATACGTGCTTTTTACCGAGTTTAAAGATTCACAAAATTTTCTTGCATTTTCGTGCAAATTTTTGTAATTTATGAGAAAATAGCAGTGTAGATGGATAAAGTCAAAAGTGTGCGCAATGCTATTTTTGTGCATATCTGGGATGTTTTTTTAAGTAAAAATAAGTCGACGTGTAAATGGTTTATGTGTATGTGCTATTCTGAAAAATGCGCAAGGAGTTTGCGATTGTGCACTTTTTCCCAATTTTGCAGTTAATATTTGTCATGATTAAGCAGTTTTGTTACATAAAATTTCTAGCATAAGTGTAATTCGGCTAGTAGATTGTTGGAAAAAGTGTTGAGTGAATAAAAAGAAAAGAAACATGTCTTTACTTCGTGAAAACAAAATGGCGGCGGGAAAAAAAAAAATAGGGGGTTGCTGTAGCAGAGTTGATCGCCAAGTTACCATAATCCAAAGATCAACCACTTTTTTTTTTCATCTTAGTATTTAATATTATGGGGTAGAGTAGACGGCACAGCTTTAGTATTAGTCCTTTTTGGCGCGATAAAGGAAAGATTGTGGTAACCCTAAATACTGAGCTGAAAAACATGCTGCCATTTCTGTCCACGTAACGTTAACGAATTTGGTCAGAGCTTTGATGGCAGGATCGATAAATTGCATGTTTTTCTTAGTTACTTTCATGTCAGTAAAGCACAACATTTAAAATATTTTTAAAAGAGCCAAAATTTGATAGTTAAAACTGAATGTGAATATTACAAGCATCAATTTTAATATTACATCACATGAGTCTTGACAATTTTTCATATGTCAACTCTGCATATTATAAATTCCACCCCCCACAAAGGAAAAAAAAAAAACATTTTTAGTAACATGAGGTAAATTCTTGATGTTTCCTTTGCTAAGGAACCGCATGCAAATTTAGACTTTTTAGATGTTTCTTAAAATGGACAATGATCAAAATTGCCATAGTCTAAAAATACTTTTTTGCCTCATTTCTTAAATTAGAACTATAGGGATGTGTAATTGCATGAATTCATAGACCAGGTTTCATTATTGCTTTTATAACATTTTTATAATTTGTCTGACTATAAAAAATATAATGTTGCTTAGATTATGGAATATATTGCTTATAATTTGCAGTTCTGAAATTTTATAAATCTCAGTCTAATAGCTATATATGAATAACCTTCACTGAGTATTATTACTTTTATTAATAGTATGTTGACATAACATTTGAATTTTTATTTTAAATTTTATGCAAATTTTCTACATTACTTAAACATTTAATCTAACAGAAATATGAATTTTTTGTAATAAAAATTCTATAATAAAAGTAAGAGTACAATTTACATATAAAAGTTTGACTACATGGCAAGCACTTAGATACTGATTTCAATGTCTTTAAATGTAATTATTATAAAGTTTAGATACGTTTTTATTTTTATTAAGTTAAGATATGCTCTTATTCTATTAAAAAATTTAAATGTACTGAACAGAAGGCACACTTTGTGCTTACGACTCAGTCAACCACTTGTGGCAAGATAACTTATGATAACAATTAAGTTCAAATGTAAAATTTAAATTCAAATAAATTTGTAGCCAAAGGATACACAAATCAATTTAATGCAAAGTTGGTTCAAAACGTTAACCGGCATGGAATTCAACTATCAGCAATTATAAAGCAGGACTGAAGACTACAAATCTTATCTTATCTAGCAACCTAGTAACATGGCCTCTAAAGGCAAAACACGGTTTGTTTTACAAACTAAAAACTTCATTTGGATTTTGGTGGGAAAACGGATGGAGAAATTGACCGTAAAGATCCCAAATATAAAAGAACTGGTTACAAAATAAAAGAACGTTACATTATACTTTGTTCCCTGATTAATTATTCACTACATGAAATAGTATAATGCATTTTTATTTGCATTTATTTTATTTAAATGCTGTCCAAAAACTGAACAGGATTTCGCAAACATATTGACCATATTTTTCGACCTATAGATGCAACACTTCAGAAGTTAGAATTAAGAAATAAGAAGAGAGAATGGTATTTATGAATAAAAAATAAATATATATACTGGCTAGCAGAAAGGTGCCTTCATAAAGGACATTTTAAGAGAAACTGGCTCAGATTCACATTGCATGTAAGGAAAACCACAAAAATTCCCATATAGCTAGCCTGAACTACCACTGTTCAGTGGCTTATCACTCCAGCTCTAGTGGATTCCAATGACTGTTCCAATCTTTCACAGAAATCATCAGTTATGATGATTGTTGTTGTGTATGATTAGCATTGGTACAAAATGTACTCGTTATGATAATTTAATTTTAGCATTTAAATTATAATCATAAATTACTTGTAATAAATTGAGTGATTAGAAAATACACACTTCTTAATATTTTTACCATTTACAAAATTTAATCTTAAAGTATATCTAACACTGGGGCAAAATTTACTCGTTATAATTTAATTTGACTTTGAAATATTTTTTTTTTTTCCTTTAATAACAGAATCTAAGAAACTAAAGTAACATATACTAGTTTGAAATGCATTTATTAACCTTTTTGTAAATTTCATTATTCATAACATAAAAATTAACCTTTTGTACATTAAAAATATTAGCTAAATACTAATATAATATAATATAAATATTAACTAATTACTTAAAAATTAATATTTAATACATTATATTTTGTAATTTAAAATATTAATCTTTTGTAAATTTCATTACTCATAACATAATCACTGCCATAAATACATTTACGGTAGTGTTTCAAGAATTTATCATAGCAGTACTAGAAATGTTGAAAATTAGAGAAAGACTGTTTAGTCTAGATTGGGTTTTGTTGACAATCCGCCATTTTTTTCCGATTTTCAAAGCCGGATCTACCTTGGCGACCGAAGTTTGTCGCCAAATCAAAAAATCGCCAAAAGGACCAATACTAAAGCTGTTCCGAGTAGACTTTAAGGTACCCTTTGTATTATCGCCAAGTTGTTGTGGTAGCCTGAGTAGTTGAATGTTATGGAAACCCTACTGTGACGTAATCGGGTGCATGATTCTAGGAAATTTTGAATCATGGGATGTTTTGTAAGCGTTTTTGTGGTGTGGGTTTTATTCTTACAATGTAGTAAGATTAATTTGAAGTTTCTGTACGATTTAAAGTGAAAGGGGAAAAGAGCTTTAATTGACTGGTGTGTAAATGAAGGTTTACTTAGTAGCCATTATAAGTGTTCTGTATGTAGGAAGGATATGCGTCTAGTCGAAGGTAAAAAACCGTTTAGATGGATTTGTAGGAAGAAAGATTCAGATGGTCATTATGTGAAGCGTTCGATCAGAAAGAGTACCTGGTTTAAAAAAAGTCATTAGAGTATGATTGATATTTTGATTTCTACGTGGCTCTGGGTTTACGAAGCAAACTCGAAAATCATGGTAAGTAAATATTTGCTTTTGGTAGTGCTTAAATGTATAACATGTTTTATTTTTTTTTTATGTTATTTTATTGTTTGGTTTAAAATGTATTTTATTGAGATTATGTATTTTTGTTTGCCTATATTGTAGAATTTGGTGCTCCTTTGACTTTGAAGTGAAAATATATCGATGTGTACGTGGACAAAGCAGAGGAAGTGCGCAATGCAAGTTTGCGCTATTCTGGGATTTTTTTTAAGTGAAAGTAGGTTGACGTGTACATGAATAAAGTTAAAAGAGTGCGCAATGCAATTCGGGGATTTTTTTTAAGTGAAAATAGGTCGACGTGTACATGGATAAAATCAAAGGAGTGCGCAATGCCATTTTTGTGCAATTCGGGGAATTTTTTTTAAGTGAAAATAAGTCGATGTGTACATGGATACCGAGTTTGTGCAGTTGTTTGTCTTGTTATTTTGGCTTTGTGTATCGGTGATTTTTGGCGGAAAAATTACCGCTTCGCAAGCCAAAATAACGAGTCAAAGAATTGCACAAATCGGTAACTATGTACCGCCAAAATCGTCGAGTTTTGCCAAGGGATACCCTAAGCTATACTTTTACCAATATTATGATATAAATAACTCAAGCATTATTAACTTTTATACTTCTATTTTTTAATTCTCACTATTAATTTGAACAGTTATCCGTAATAATGGTGTTAGATACGACTGTAAATGTACACCATTTTGTCCATTCATCAATTTATTTCTACCTAAATAGTATTTCTAAAAATTTAAACACAACCAAACAAGTTTATTCTACCAAAATAATAATGTTTTACAGCTGTTGCCACTCAAGCAAAACTAAAAAGGAAATTAATATTCTACTGGTTGAATGTAAATGAACAATGCTATACTTTACATACTCCCACCTTTTGATAATATGATTTTTATCAAAACAAATATTTAGTTAATCTAAAATATAACCTAAAATTTCATTTTGAAGTCCTTGAATTTAGAAGGCACTTTTATAGCTCGACCACTTCTTCATCTAATCTATAGCACTCATCCAAATAGTCATTAAACGTTTTACCATCTGGATCAAAAACTGGTTTAGCTTTAGAAATTACTTTGGAAGCACTTCCTTAGAGAACCCGGTAAATGTAAACATCGCCAACTTTGGCGATAATAGTTCAAACCTGGTAACCCATTGGATTCATCCTATTCGCTTGTTCGAAGGTTGCAACCATTCTTGCGTTCATTTTGTTTAATTATCACTGGCGTTGTTCGCATTTGGAGATTTATATTATTCTTCTCTTATTTATTATTATTTTTTCCGATTTTCCACATTATTTTTTCTGAATTTTTTAACAACGAATAGACAAATATTTTCGTATAATTAAAGAAGTTTCCGTCGATAGATGCCGGTTCTCGGCTCGTCAGTCCGGGATCAAGGGAAGAAAATATAGCGGGAGGGTGAATGCTGATTTGTAACACGGCTGTTCACGTTGTGTTCTTAATTATTAACAGCTGTAAGCACGCAGAACCATGAGGTTTCTAACCCCTAAAATAATTTGTTTTCAGCAGTGCGTTCTTATGGACCCATAGTCTGCGCTGGGATTGCAAAGACCTCTTTACAAGAAAAGGACACCATAAATACATCTTCAAGTGTTCTGTAAAATGAATCCAGACAGTTTGATAACTAGTCCATCATATAGGTACTTGCACCCATGTGCAGATTGGCGGCTGTTTGAAAAGGCCTTGTTAGGAATGCCCCTGCCTGAAGACGATTGCCCTGATGAGTATCACTTTTTAATTTCAGAAAAGCATCCTTCATAAAAGTGCATCCGTATGAAAGTTCAATTTTTGTTTTCATTACTGATTCATTAATTAAGCAAGGGATGAAATAAATCTCTGATATCGTTATGCAAATTCACTTCACTGGATTTGTATAAATGTACCCTTTGCAGAAATGCGTGATGGACGCTTTTGTACAAAGATCTCATTTTTTCATAAAGGTGTCGAAAATTAATTTCATTCCCTGCGTCGTCAATCTATAATGCAAATGGAAATCCAGACCTTTCACTAACCTATATCCTCAAAATACCAGAACGCCCGAAATAGTTTTCCAGTTTCACAGCAATTTCCTCCCCTCCCCGTCCATTAACGAAAAAAATAGGTGTGAAGATTTCCAATGACATCCTTTGTAATTTCTAATAAAGATTACATTAGCCTTTGACCCCATTCTTTATAAAACTATTCTGAAGGTCAGACCAACAAGCCTTTCTGGCTTTGTTATGATCACAAGTGAGATTTTGTTTATTTCCGTTATTTGTATAGGAAGAAATAAATTGTTTAAAATTAAATATAATCCTTAAATTTTTAAACTGCTCTTTTATTGCTGTTTAAAGCTTAAAAGCACACTGTGCCACAAAAGAATCAACAATGAAATGTCACGATCAACCAGAAGACAAGAAACTCTTAGGACAAGCTGTCTACAGTAAACTGATACAATGCATTTGGGGAAACTGCACCTGCTACTGCATACCGTAGGGGGAGGGAAGAAAACAAGATTACAATCTCGGGCAGTTCTGGTTGTTTCAATGTAGGGCCGTGTGGAGCGGATTGGATGTGTTAAAGTGTCCGTATCCTTATGAAGGTTGGATTATGGAGGAACTCGCACCTTTTTCCAAGGCACCCTTTTAAAGAATTTTATTTTTTTGAACATCGATTGATGTTTATAAAGGTGTATTTACCTTTATATCTGGGTACCATTATGAAGGTGCTCATAAGACCCACTGCAAAAAATACCATACGTCACAGATTATCATCAGAATAACTGCACACATTGCAGATAAATTAAGAAAAGGCGAGCTGCATAATATAGACTGATTCTATATACTCCTGTTAGACCACAACTCCATTTTAATCTTGACATAAGCATATATACAGCTTCCATAATGTTTGGCCCATCCTCCTACATGCCAAGTGTTAAGGTTAATCTTTACCATTTGGCATTCTACATTCTTAGCCTGAAGGTTCATGTTCATTCATGCAGGTTCTTATGTAAATGCACAAACATTAATATGATACACATATGGTTGGGCATCTTTTCCCATATATTCTTACGGTGGCTCATTCTTTACCATCATTCATTACATGAAGTCAATTTCTGGCAACTCAAGAGCTCTTGACAAAAAATCTATAGTCCTTAGAGATTCTTTGTCAAGAGTTTGTAAATCGCTACATATTTTGCAGTTTTAATGAGAAAGCTCTCCCGGTGCCTACCAGGAGCGCTGGCACAAAATGCAGATTTATCTGTTTTCAATTGTTGCTCTTTATAAATATGATTTATTTCTTGACGTTTCTTAAAGCTTATACATAGATTTCTGAGTCAGCCTGAATATATAACAGAAAGATGAATTGTACTTTGTCGATGCATATGACAGGTCACTTTTAAGGTGGGGAACTTAACAAAGCAATGTTATTTGTATTTGTCATAATGAAAATTTTTTGAAAAATATTATATAATAAAACTATAGAACATGACGCCATATTAATTTAATTTACTGAAAAATGAGTCTGGGAAAAATTGATCGTTATTAATAGGAAGAGTTTGAATGTATTTATTTTTCTTTAATCCTAGAACACTAGCATGTTTTATATGCTGTTATCACTAGCGATACGTAAAATTTACGTGCTCGTTTAAAATTCATTTTATTTACTTATATTACATTAATGATGTTTCTAAATATGTTTTTATTTGCTGTTTTACCCAATATTACTAGATTTTCATTAACTTGATAATTAATTGTATTTAAAAATATAATTGAAAACTATAAAAATGTTTACTAATAGCTAAAAATATAAATAAAATATAGTTTAGCACATTTTTTTTTAATAACACATATTAAAATATCAGTTAATAATAGACTTAAAAACCACAAAAACAAATAAAACAATAATAAAAGTTGTTTGCCTTTTAAATTTAATATAATCGACACAATTGAAAAATAAATTTACATAATAATTAGTTACCAATCCAATTATATCTATACACAAGAAGGGCACGACTTCTTCTGGTGCTCTCCATATATAGCTTTTCAACATTTGCAGTAGGTGGTTGTCATTATCTTTTTTTTTTTATAGTCACAAAAGCTGCAATAGGTTCGACGACCTTGCTGAGTTTGGGGAAGTTCTAAAATCTGTGGTTCCTGTCCTAACGCTTTTGTGATTATATCTTTCAATTCTCTTGACAGATTTGGAACATTTAGATGGTGAAGTTGCCATTTTTCACATAATTGTTAATGAAGTTTCAACATGAAGTTCAATCTTGATAATGCCATTCCATTTCAAGTTCGATCTCTGTAAAAATTATGCAAATAAATTATGTATGCATTTATTCTTGCTATATTTATAATATTATAGAAAAAAGCCATTGGCTATCTTTTTTTTCCCCTATGTTTATGTGATTATACAATTGATCGAAACGGTCAACCTCACCTTTTGTAGAATTGTATGTCATAATTATTTCTGGCTGACTGGTTAACTTCTGAGTTAGAATGCATCGTTGATATTAAAGTCACAAGTTTTTTCTTTGCTTTGTAAGATACTGCAGTGACTTCATCATGAAATAAAAACGAACTAAAACCATTCTTTTGCTCTTGATACTTTACATCAGTAAATTCCAGAGGAAACTCGCTTTTATTTTTCTTTATCGTGCCAACCATTGCTATCTTGTCTTCTTTTTAGCATCTTTTCAGCAAGAAAAACATTCGAGAACCAATTGTCCATTGTTACGTTTCTATTACTGTTCTTGATAGTTTCGGTCAGTTTGTTTACAAAATAGTGTGCTGCAACCATTCCTCTAGGTACACTTCCACTTCCTAAATATGGGATCCCATTCGTCATGTATTTAGTGCTGTTGTCGCATATCATTATCACTTTTATCCCGTACTTGTTGGGTTCACTTCAAAAAGGACACCTTCCCCGAAATCCAATCAACTGCTCGTCTATAGTCGTGTATGAACTGGGTTTGTAATATTTTTTACAATTTTCAATAAGAATTTCCCATATTTGGCGAATAGCAGCTAATTTATCAGCCCTTGTGTCATTTTTATCAAATCTTAAGCAATCCAAAAGAAATGAAAAGCGTCTCTCAGAAAATGTTGCTCTATACCTTCCACCAGAAAAAGTTACATCAAACAGAACTTTTGTTGACAAATGGTTATCTTTTAAAGCTGCGGAAAGTATTAATATTCCAAACAAGGCATTCAGTTCATCGAATCTTAAAATTATTTAGGGGACCATCCGTAACATTTGCATAATCTATCTTCTTTCTGTTTATCTCTGCGTTTATGTGAGTAAGTATTTCTTTGTGAGTAAGTATTGAAAATAAACAAATTAAGACAATCAATTGGTTCCTTAGCAAATCGAGCCTCAGCAACTGGACCTGGTCTAATATGAACTATATTTTTTCGCTGGTTTTCTTGTTAGTGGTGTAAGAAGCTGAACACACAAATTTCAAAAGTAACCTGTAAAAATATCACAAAATGAATTAAAGCGACTCGGAAACAAAACAAACCTGCACATAAAGTTGGAGTTGTTTCGAAACGGCTTATTAATGAATAGTCTTACGAAACGCAATGTATATGTAATTAGAAAAGTAAAGCTTTTTACGAATCAAAAGTTACATATTTAAATTTTTACTATGATTTATTTATTTCGTATTAGTGACCAGATTTAGAATGTAACAAACGATTTGACTGGGTGAAAGAGAGCCTTCAAAAATGCAGAGTTCATGTTCTAGAGCAAGATTTTAAAAATGCTCTAAATAAGTTATTTTTCTGACCTTGTTGGAAGTTTTTAATGTACTTCTTTTTAATCATACATAATTTTAAATGCAATGTCTTATTTAGTGTCGGATGGGCTGGTGAGGGACCAGAAGTAAAAATTAATGCTGGTGATGAAGCTGTTGACATTGAATTTGAACAGAATCCTGGACGTAAGTTTTAAATTTGTTATTTTATTCATTAAATATTTGAGGTGCTGAGTCTCTTTTTTTCAACATCAAAGAAAAATGGTCTTAAATTTAGGCAGTTTTAAAAATAGTATCCTCATGGAAGATTTTGATGCATTATAGATTTTAATGTATAGTAATAGTCATTGCTTATGTAATTGAGTTAAAATTACTTAATGTAATTTTATCAGAGCATTATTGAATCATGATATAGGCACAGCTATTTAAGATTTTCTTATGTAGCTTAGATTAACTCTCTATGGATGACTTGCTGCTCCTATGGATGATGGATATAAGCTTATTTAAGAATGAGTTGTGTACAGGTTGGTCATAAAAAATTTCCTTAATACATGAACCCCAAGTGGCTTATACTCGACCAATGTAAATGAAATTTCAGATTGATTTAACCCTCTGAGCAGCACAGGATTTTAGATCCATCATGAAGATTGGTATTTAAGCAGCATTTATTAATTGTTTGTATAATTACTTATTTGAGGTTGTATTTTCATAAATTTACATTCCTTAAGATGGCATTTACATTATTAAAGGATGTAAGAAAGCAAAATATCTTAACTTATAAGTTAATATATGCAAAGTAGTAAAACTTCTGATAACCAGATAAAGCCGGTCATAACGCTCAGGGGGTTAAAACAATGGAGCTCTTATAATTACAGAGAAAAAAATTTGAAAGGCAATACCCTCTTTTTTTCCTGTGCAAATTTTGCCTCTTGGAACCAGGCACAGAGGTTCAATCTCCGCCCTCGCACATTGGAGAGAAGGATGCATCGCACAAAGCGACACTGGTCGTCAGTTTGCTATATGCCAGTTGTTCAGGCTGCCCATCGCAGTGGGACACTACCCAGCAAACCCAAGGGCGCTACCTCCCGTGCTACTAGAGTCACACCGCTCTAGGACTCGCCAGGCCACCGGGCCGACCAATGAGTGACCTCTCTGGGGCATCCAGAACCACTAGGCTCATAAATTTTATACCCTGTGGCCGAGACTGCCTACGTACAGATCCTAGCCAGTAGCTTTGCAGAGTTTTCTATGTCGACCCTCATGGGGGTTGGAAGGATACATGTATGGTGATATAAAACATTTGCAAAGAAGAGCATTGTGAAGGACCACTGACAGCCCAAGAGAGAAGAGGGTGGACAAAATCTTGTACTGGAATTGCAAGCTTTTAACGTGCTCCCCTCTGCAGATGAAAATCCATTGCATGTGGGAGATTGTTGACAACAATGATGAGCATAACAGGGTTGCCACGCTACCTGGAAAACCGGGAGAACCGGAAAAGGTCAGGAAATTCGAAAATTGACCAAAAAATTCAGGGAAAAGTCTGGGAATTTAACTATTTTTGTCGAAATCTGGAAAAGTCGGGGAATTTCATACAACGATTCCGCCAAAAAAAGCGATTTTTGCGCCGACGTCGGAAGAGATAACTTTTTTGGCGAACTGTGTATCACGTGAGACACATGTCATTCGGGCAGCTGGCATAGAGCCAATTTTCGCAGCTCCAATTTGATTGTCTTTTAGAAAGGCAAAGCAAGTTTCCCGCAACTTTTGGTTTCCAGTATTCTCGAGAATCGCATGTGCAGTGCATGAATTAAAGAAAGTACCTGTTCTCGTATAAAACAAAATGGGTTTAATCCTAGTATACGGTACCATGGAGGTTAGAATCAAAGAATATGTATTGTAAAGAAGGAAAACCTCTCTGCAACAGACGTGGCTCCGTTCCATCATAGAGGGAAAACAGCTGTGCATGCGTGATATATCTGTCGCCAAAGCTCGAAACCAGTGTCGAAGTTCGAAGGCCACGTTATCAAGAGTTCATAAAATGAATCCACGCACGTCGAGATGCTTTTGTCTCAAACCACGAGCGACGTGAACACCACGTCGATAAGCATTTATCGCAAAAATGAAAATAACGTGCTGCACACGTCGCCTAACAACGAGATTGTTTATTTCTCGAGTTACATCTCTGGATTGCACTCGCAGATGCTGAACGGCTTAAATGAGACACTTTACCTCTTGTTATATTATAGCGCACGGCACCGCAACCTTGAAGTTTAGTCTTAGCGCAAGTGGTTAAACTCTAAAGAAAAAGAAAATATTTTTTGGCGCAAGTAAATTAATTCGTGGATTAGTTCTTTTCAGGGGGGAAAAAAACCTACGAAAATCCGTTTTTAAAATTATTGCGTTTCTTCTCGGATTTTTTCGCAATAATTTAAAAGCGGATTTCCGTAGTTTTCTTTTTTTGTCAAAGAACGCTTCTTCTTAACACGTGTTTCTCAATTTCCTGTACACATCGCGGAGAGGAAAATTCTGGTCGCCAGGTTCCGTCGCCAAATCCCTTGGCAAATTTTCTCTCCGCATTTTAGCGCCGTAATAGCATTTTACTTGTATGGAACCTTTTCTTCTTTACATAGACGTTCTTTGGTTAGAATAATCTCCATGTATGGTACAATGGGATTTGGCGACATGATGATGCGCAGTAAACGCGTCATTTTGGTCTTGCCGGCAATTTTCAAAATCGTGCCAAAGCCTTACCGTATACTAGAATTTTACCCGCAAAATCTTTTTTTAAACCTTTTTTTTCTTTTTTAATAAATACCTTGCCATTTTGCAGTAAAATAAAAAAATAGTAATCAGTCATCTAGGCTAACCATGTAATATAACTATATTCGCTAAAATATCGTTGATTATTCTAATTCAATTTTTAAGTAATTATTTTTTATTTTTATGTCATTCATATAATTTAATGTTGCTTCTTCCCTCTAAATTTATTTATTATTAGTAAATAATATTTCCAAATTTCAGGAAATTTTCTCTGGCATAATCCTGAAATTAATTCTAGCAGTATGATGACATACCATCACGAAATTTAATGCACATATTTTTTCCTTATGTATGCTGCGAAAATAAATATAAAATACCTCAATTTATTTAGCTGCAGAATGTCTCTGCAAAAAAAGCCTTATTTTATTCCAGATTGGGAAGATTCTAATCTCAATCTTCAGTGGAGAAAACAACAACTATTATAATTATATTTGTGTTTTCAAGTGTTAAGGTGCCTTTTAAGAACATACCTCACACAAATTAAATTTACCTAAAATCTAACCTAACTATTTAGCATTGCGTTGTGATTTATAAGGACCGGATTAGCCTCGTGTTGAACTGGTGATGATCATGAGTAATAATTAAATAAAACATACATTTGTTATCCAATGTATATATCTTAAATTTTATTAAGTTTCTTAAGTGGAAAAGTAAACAAAATTATCAAAGTATACCAAAAATAATTAAGAATAAATGTCCTCTGGGATTTATTGAATAATTAAGTGAATTTGCTACACAATACAAGTAATACCATAATTAATTTACCTCTTAGCACAGCCAATGTACATTACACGGATAGACTGGAATTTTCTTGAAACACACCTGGAAAACCTGGAAAAGTCTGGGAATTTCATTCTCCTGTTTGTGTGGCAACCCTGACATAACATTGCAGGAGGAATGTGTATGACTTCACAATTTTTGCAATCTTTCACTTCTGATTCTTCATGGCAAGGAGTGCTAAATTAAGCATGTCATTGGCAACAGCCTTGAGCACCATTCAGGTAACAATGCGATTTAGCTCAGTTCTGCCCCCAATTTTGAAGGAGAGCACCCTGGGGGGAATGGGTCTGAGGGTCTCTCACCCCTCTTCCCTACCACCAAACCACACAAGGTCTTTTGGCCTGCCGCATATTTAGATTGCCGTCATTCCGCACCATGCATCCATGCCTTCTCCGGGATTCGAACCTGAACCCTTCTGCCTGGCAGTCAGCGAAGCTAACCACTATACCGGTTGGGTGGCAGTAGTTATCATAAAAGGGTTCACTGAAATTCATTATTTTGTAGCAAGTATGTTGCATGGAGGTAGTGTAAATAGTGATCAAACATTTTATAGCGTTGAGGAGCACAAAATAGTTACTGCTTTAAGTAAAATTTAAGAATTGTATCTCCATTAAGTATTTCTAAAGTAATAAAATCTTGCTTGAAATTTCTTTGCAGAAACGGAAGATCTAAATGATTTAACCCATATCATTTGTTCCTTTCTCTATAAAAAGACACTGAATCAGCCAAAGTCAGTTAAAAGGAATGTAAAAGCTCTGAAGAAACTTCAACTAGCTCATATGAATATGGAAGTAGAATTTTTTAAAGAAGTTTTTGAGCTTAAAATAAAATATGAAAAGAAATTTGAACCATTGTATCTAAAAGTATGTATAATTAAGAGAAATGTTTAGTATTTTAGTAAAGTACAATTTGGTTGTTTCTGCATTTTTATCTTGGGTAAAACATTTAAAGATTCACATTTCAGATATACTAATGTAAAATACAGGGTGATCAGCGAATAAGCCCTGATTTCAAAATCAAATATCTCTACAACAAAGATCGATAGAATTATGCGGTAAACTGTACGTTTATTAGCAAAACTGTAAAAATGATGTAAAAAAGTTTAAAAAATTTAGTTACAAAAATCGTTAACAGATGGCGTTGTAATCGCAATGACCTATCAATAGCCTTTAAAATTGTGCTTTGAATTCGAAAGTTATCAGTACGACTGTTGGCTAGTGAAAAAAGGCTAGCGTAGAAAGTGAAATAATGTATTCCATTGAACGTGTTTTTGGTTCTGGAATTTTACCGATTAGAACACAGTCCTACGGCAACACGTCGCGGTTTTCAAAACCGTTTCAATGTTCCAGTTGGACCTGATGCAAAAACCATTCGCATGCTCTTCGTGAAATTTGAACGGACTGGCAGCGTGGCTGATGATCGAAAGGGAAGTGTTAATCCTAGCAAACTGTAGTCACTCCTGAAAATGCAGCCAACGTTTCTGGAATTGTTCAGCAAAATCCTAGGAAAAGCATCCGACGTATGGCATCAGAGACAGGTTTGAAGTACACGAGCATGCAAAAAATATTAAAAAATAGCCTTCGGCTGTTTCCATAAAAAAATCCAAAGTCATCAGGCCATACCCATGAAGCTGTGCAACAAAGGGTTGACTTTGCGAATCAGATTCTAACAATGGTCGACAAGGATAGATTTGATGTGAGCTGCATTTGGTTCACAGATGAGGCACATTTTCATTTGAATAGAATCGTTAATAAACAAAACTGGAGATCTGGAGTACCAAAAATCCTCATTTGTGTGAAGAGAAAGCACTGCATTCGCCTGAAGTTACTGTACGGGCTGCGATATGCGCCAGAGGCATTATCGGACCATTTTTTGTACGAGAAACGATAACTACTGAACGTTACTTTACAATTTTGGAACAATTTATCAGCACTCAACTAGCGTTGGAGGATCGACCAGGTATCGACTGGTTCATGCAAGTTGGGGCTTGATTTAATCGAACAGATAAAGCTTTCACTTTCTTCATTAATACTTTGGAAATAGAGTAATTGCGTTGGATTATCCGTAATTTACTGACACAGGAATAGCTTGGCCTCCATATTCTCCTGATCTGAGTCCTTGTGACTTCTTTCTGTGGGGCGCATTGATAGACACTGTCTATCGAAAAAATTCTGCTACTCTAGATGAGCTTGAATCGTTGATTGGTGTTGCATGTGATTCCATTTCCGTTGAGGCATTGCAAGACGTGATGTCAAATTTCATTGTTCGTTTACGCCACCTCTTTGTTTCGAACGGTGAACATTTTGGAAAAATTGTATTTTGATTGCAAAGGCTGCTTCACTTTATTGTTTTTCTTTACTCCTTTCAGAGAAAGAATTTTTAGCGCAGAGCGCTATCTGTTAATGATTTTCGTAACTAAATTTTCTAAACTTTTCTATACCATTTTTTACAATTTTGCTGATGAACGTATAGTTTACCGCATAATTCTATCGATCTTTGTTGTAGAGATATTTAATTTTAAAATCAGGGCTTATTCGCTGATCACCCTGTAAGTTATGAATTGTGTGAGAAATTGCTTTAGTAGAAACTGTCTAATGCTCAAAATAAAATATTTAGAATGTGATTCAGAATAGTTATGGGTCACAGGGGAATTTATATTTGAATGCTCAAGAAGTTAAAATTTTTATATGCTTTCATTTTCTGTATGTATTATGAGTTTAGAAATTTAATGTTTGGTAAACCAAGAATGGATGCGCATCATGCTATTATGATTTTACCCTTCGTTTTAACCTATGTCACATGATATCAAATGTTCATAAATCTTTGGACTGATTGACTACACTATTAAATGAGGCATAAAAGCATAAAGCTGTTAGTAAAACAGGGTTCGTATGGTCCTTAAGAGTCCTTAATTTTAATCATCTGAAATTTCTGTCTGTTTTTACGACTGCCATTTTGAGTGCGAATTAGCATTTTGGAGGAATATGTTTGTCTATTCACTGACGTATATGGTTATCTTTTGAATGGGTTATAATTTGTTTCTATTTCTAATATTTACTCGAGTTTCTAAGCAAGAAGTGAAACATAAGCATTTTGAAATTCATTTTTCATAATGAAGAGCTCTTAAACAATTTTCGCTTTTGGGGATGTGAATTCTTTTATTAAACAGTTCTAAATTTGGCAACTTGTCAACATTTTGGCAATTTTAACATCAGTTTCTATAGAAAATTTTTAATTCCGAAATCTGAGAATTTTTCGACGATTTTTTTTAAACATCATAACATTGAGAAATTTTATTACAATAATGGTAATATATTGGAATTATATTTATAAAAAATAACATTAAAATAAAACATTTTTATTTTTTCCTATCGTATTATAAAGTTTCATTTTGCCAACTTATACAATGTTTTGAATCTGAAAAATAAACAAGGTATAATGCAGTAAAGCATAATTTACGAAACAGCTCTTAGCAAAAGCAAAATTAGGTATGTAATTAATTAAAAAGTCCTCTTTTTAATTTTTTCATAGTAAGCGTTTTTCCCATGTAATTGTCTCAGAATATGCATCAGTTTTCTCTATAAAATTAATTTTACACTTTTTCTCTCCCCCCTTTTTTTTCCCAAAATATTTCTAACTTTTTGCTGTTACAGAATTGGTTGGGATAATTTTTCTTTAGTATTTTTGACATTGCAGCTTGGAAAATTTAGAAGGATTTGAAGGTAAGATTTATAGACGCACGATTCTAGAAGATTCGAGAAATATGTGACAAAATGTCTCCATGGTATCAACACATAATGGATGTATTTTACAGAAAGTTTGCAATGAATTTCTTACTTTTTAGAGAATGTCTGGAAGAACAATGACATAATATTTGAATATTTTACTCCTGATACTAGAATCGTTTTCTTAACATGTTTATCTTCGCTTTATTTTCTCCACTTTTCACTAGACACAAGCAGGGAATATATCAAAAATGCTTCTAATCTTATCACTTGGGCAGACATTGTAGAAAGGAATTTTTTTATTAATAAAGAAATTGAAAACTTACAATTTAAAAATCCATATAATACAGTGGATGGACAAAAATATGGAAACACCTTGTGAAATGCATGTTTGAAAAGAAAGATTGATTTTAATGAAATATGTAGGTGATGCTGGCGTTTTTGACTACTGACGCCACCTATACAACTTCGTAAATGTGCTAAACAGTTCAGTTGTTGTCGGAGTACCGTTATGTCAGGTTGTCATTGCATTATGTCAGAGCTAACAGACTTCGAACGTGGGCAAATTGTTGGAGCACGTATGGTAGGTGCTTCCGTAAGCAAGGTAGCCGAGGTGTTTATTGTTTCAAGAGGTACTGTATCGAAGATTTATTCGGCATATACGAAAGTGTGTCCTGAGTGATCGTGACAGACGATCATTAAGGGCAATTGTGACGAAAAATAAGAAGACCACAGCTGCAAAAATTACTGCTGAAATGATTGTTGCGTTACTGAACCCTGTGAGTACCAAAACAATTAGAAGGGAGCTTCATAAACAGGGAATTGCTGGCCGTGCTGCAATTGAGAAGCCACTCATCAGTGATGCTAATGCCCGTAACAGGAAAAGGTGGTGTTTAAGTCATAAAGCCTGAACTATAGAGCAGTGGAAGCGAGTAATATGGTCTGACGAGTCTTCTTTCACATTGTTTCCCCCTTCTGGCCGAGTTTACGTCTGGAGAACGCCATCTCAAGCCTATAATATAGACTGCTTGTTGCCAAGAGTGAAACATGGCGGGGGTTCTGTTATGGTTTGGGCAGCCATATCGTGGTTCTCTGCTAGCCCCATGATAACTGTGTCAGGGCACATGACTGCCAAGACTTATGTGAACATTTTGGCCGATCAAGTTCATCCCATGGTACAAACTTTGTTCCCCGATGGTGATGGTGTCTTTCAAGATGACAAAGCCCCTGTTCACACAGCTCACATTGTCCAGGACTGGTTTTCTGAGCACGAGGATGAGTTGTCCCATCTCCCTGGCCACCACAGTCACCAGAACTGAATATTATCGAACTTTGTGGTCTACATTGGAACGAAAAGTGCGTTCTCGTTATCCACCGCCAACATCGTTATCTGAACTTGCCACCGTTTTGCAGGAAGAATGGTATAATATTCCCTTGGCAAACATACAGGAACTGTATTTATCCATTCCGAGAAGACCAAGTTGTTTTGGATGCCAACGGGTTTCCTACACCATATTAAGCAAAGAAACATGTTTTTTTAAAGGTGTTTCCATATTTTTGTCCAACCCCTGTATGTCTTAATACACAGAGCTGGCACTAGGCATTTTCCCATCTGATTCAATCTCTGTTGATCCTAAATTTGACTGCATAATACCTTTTTAAATTCTGCTTCCAACGCCTGCTCTAAATTCTAAAAGTTTTCCCTTTTCTAGATTTTGTTGTTTGGTGTGTCACTAAATTCTAAAAATTCTGCCACACCAGCTCTGTAACCGGCCTTTACCATATATATTTCATATTTCTTCTGAATTTCATATTACTAAAGAAATTAAATTAGTCACTTTTTCTATACATTCTAAATGCATTAAGTGTTTTTTAGAAAAACAGAAATCTTTAATTAAATCCAAAAGTTCTAAAATGAAAAGGAAACATGCTAAAGAAACTGAATACAAAAAGAAAATTATTCTTCAAAAGTATATGCAGTTATTATTATGTAAATTACCCAATTGTTTATGATTTCAGCCTTTACTATAATTTTCCATTTCTGTTTTCTCATATGATAGGATTATTGAGCCAGATTAAATTGTATAATCTTTGATCACTAGTCTGCATTTTTAGTTTGAATTTGACTGTTCTTGTTT